TAGTGAGGCTAGCCCTTCCCTGATGTGGGATGGTTAGATTTCTGCATGTCTTACAAAGCTACAATTCCACTTCTGACCAGGGCACACCTGAGCTTGGACTCAGGTGTTTAAACACCAGAGAAAATGGGAAGTAGCTGTGAAAAAAAAAAAACCAGGCTACAGAATATGGGCAATTTGATGTTTATTGGTGTCATTTAAAAACATTTAAACATAGCAACCATGTAAAAACAAAGAGGGAAGAAATGTACATCAACTTGAGCTCCTCAGGAGGCTGGGTCCTGGAGGACAATAGTTCTATGCCATCCCAAAGAAAAGAGTCTTGGGCTGGGAAGGTGGCTCAGTGGTAGAGTGCTTGCCTTGCATGCACGAGGTCCTGGGTTCAATTCCTCAGCACCACATAAGCAGAAAAAAGTCAGAAGTGATATGGCTCAAGTGGTAGAGCGTTAGCCTTGAGGTGAAGAGCTAAGGGACAGCACCCAGGCCCAGAGTTCAGGCCCCACGACCCACAAAAAACAAAAACAAACAAACAAAAAAAACAAACAAAGGAAAGAGTCTTTGAGACTCTATCTTCAAAATAACAAGCTGGACTGGAGGCATGGCTCAAGTGGTAGAGCAACAGCAGAGCAAGCAAGCTGAGCAAGCAAGCAAGAAAAGCAAGTGAGAGCGAGCCACTAAGTTCAAACACCAGTACCACCAATAAAAGTAAATGTCAGTGGTAAAATATATATTTTGCATACATAGAGCCTAGCACTACCCCCAAATTAGTAACTTTTGGTAAATATGACAAAAATATTCACATCTGTTAAAATTTAAGCAGTGGGTTCATGTGTATGATATATGTTTTATTATTTTCAAAAGCATTTTAATTATATGAGCATGACTAAATTGTAAATTGTCTTTGTTTCCTCCACATTTATTTGTATAGTGTTTATTGTAAAACCAAACATTTTTAGTGCATATTATGAAGATAATATATTCTATTAAATAAATTTTAGAAAAGGAAAACTAACTTACTCAGAAATTCATCACCACACAACAGCCATTGTTAATATTTTGGTTTGTTTCCTCCCACTTTTCCCCCTTGTATGGGGTTGTGTGTGTTGAATCACAGTGCTAAGCATCTAGTGTGCAGATACTGAATTTTGCCTTTTTTGTTCATTAGAGCAAACTCTTTTCCATGGTATGAATTAGCCTGACTTTCATTTAGAATCTTCCACGGTTCACCTCAGCAACACTGATTTGTGCAAACATAGACTTGATCACGTGACAGCCTCAGTCACATATTCTTAAATGCAATCCTTCTGGAAGTGTCAGGAGCAGGATGGCACAGTGCTCTGCTGAGATCTCTGCAGGGCTCTTCTGGGGGATGATGTTAACAGGGCTTGTCACATCCATGGGATCACATTCCTGTGAACACTTGTGGCATTCATCCTGGGTAGGGACCACACATATTTAAAAAGCTAGCTTCGTGCGTGTCTTGCTGAGAGGAGGTGAGTGCTTGTACTTCCAGCATCAGGGGGGTACTCCGGCCGGATTTGCTGAGCCTGTGAACTCTTTTTTTTTTTTTTTTTTAAAGCAAAGGAGTCTTTATTGCAAGCTAACCTGTGAACTCTTGCTTGGAGACCTGAGGGAACAGCAGTACTCATAATATAATCATATTAAATATTATTACTACTATGGTGTTATTATTACTATTATTATTCCAGAGACCAATGTGTTCCTTCCAAATGCTCTCATGTCTGTTGACCCCGGACTTCTCTATAGAGGAAGCACATGACAGCTCCTGCATTACAGCCAGTAAGTGAAGAAGTTAAGGGCACTCTTCAGTGCTCCAGACTTCTTCCAGAACTTAGACCCAGGCAGGAAGGGCCTCTGCCCTGGGCTCTGGAATCTGGAGGATATTACTTCGACCTTCTGACAACTGTATGCCTTCACCATGAGGCCCAGATGCCATGTGTCTGCCCAGAGATTCCTAGCCCACTACTCAACCACTCTGAGTCCTTGGAATTACCAAAGGGCCGGAGCCCCTCCTGGGCCTACACAAACTCAAATCCTTTATCTGGGTATGGGAGTAGGGAGGAGTCAGACTGTGATTTTCTGCACAGTAGACCCCTGGGTAGCAACTTTGCAAGGGGATAACAAAACTTATATGTGTAGGCTATAACATGAACCCCAGTGGGAGGTATGCATTGGGGCAGGCACATAGGCTCAAAATCAAGGTCAGTCCCCCCCAAAAAAACAACAAAAAAAACCCTTCTAAATGTAAACTTAATCTTGGTCATTATAAAGAATGTACTCGTCCGAGTCGCAGGATAGAGTGTATTTGGTGTAATGATTTATTAACTTGATCTGTACTTTCAAATATTTAGAGATTTGCCACATGAACCTCCTTTTCTACTCTTACCCGAGGATCTCTAGAGTCCTGGCTCTTTTATCACACTGTGCTGTTTATAGGGTCTCTTTTTTTCCACTTAAGACTGCAGCTGTTCTGAGGAGAGTACAAAGAAAAGCAATCTAGAACCACACAAAAATAAAACAATTCAGTGTGTAAAACCCAGAATATCAGACACCCCCATATGCATGTGTAAAAGCAAGAAATGCCTTGCAGGACAAAATAGAGTACAACCACCTGCTACGAGGATGAATCAGCCTGGCGGGATCCAGCAGAATCCAAAATAGAAGGCAGCTTATAAGCAGCAATCTGCCTAGCACTTTCCCTTCTCTGGGTCTCTGCCGCCCCCATCCTGTTACTATATGGGTCACAGAATTACCGCCCTCTGTTGGTGGTTGCTTTAAGAAATGCAAGAAGCCAGATCATTTTGGCCCCAAGGGAGAGCAGGGGAAATATTCTCACTGTCAACCCACATCAGCTAGGGAGACCCAGGCTCTGACTATTTACATCTTAATTGTTGTTTATTCAGTAAACTAGGTTTTGTTGAGTTTTTTTACATGCCTTATTTCCCGTCAACATTTCTGAGTTGTGATAAAGGATTTAGTTGAGTAGAGAAACATAAAATCATTAAAATGATTTTATTGTGCTTTTTCATTTCCTATAGAAAACAGAATCTAATTTGTATAATTGAATATACATGTCAGGACAACAATTTACCAAACTTATTCCAGAGTGATGTTTTATTTGACTTAGTTTGAATGCATAAAGAATCAGCACCTCAGGGAAGTTACCCCCAGTCAGCAGGGCAGGAACTTGAACCCAAACCTCTGACTCAGACAACTCTGAGTCAAACAGCAAGGCATGTTTTACAAAGTCAACTCACTTGGGAGCTCCCGCAAAAGCTGTCACAGTCTAGGCCCTCTCTGTTATTTTACTACTGATTTTGTTTGAGAGTAACACATTCACCTAAAATAGCTTTGAGACAATGCTAGTTTTGAAAGTTCTTGGAAATCACCTGGCCAAATTAGGTTTTTTTTTTTTTTTAGTTGAAGGAAATATAATGCAGGTTTAATAATTTATCATCGAGGTGTGCTTTGTGATTGAGTGGAACTTCTTTGTTATATTATGTAATTTGATTTCATTGTTTTTATTAAGGTGTTGTACGGAGGGGTTACTGTTTGAACTCTGAGCTTGGGCACTGTCCTTGTGCTCTTCAGGTCAAGGCGAGTGCTCTACCGCTTGAGCCACAGTGCCCTTCCAGTTTTCTAGTGCTTTATTGAAGATAAGAGTCTCACAGTTTTTCCTCCCAGGCTGGCTTTGAACAGCAATCCTCAGATCTCAGCCTCCTGAATAGCTAGGATTACAGGGTGAGCCACCAGCACCTGGCTGGTGTGGGATTTCTTAAAGATTTCTTTTTAAAGTAGTATCTTGTAGAGATTATGAATTACATTCATTTTCAGTAATAAATCAGCCATTCATCTAAAAAGTCTCAGACAAGTTAGAAAAGAAGCAACCAGGTGCTAGTGGCTGATGCTTGTAATCCTAGCTACTCAAAAGGCTGAGATCAGAGGGTTGTGGTTTGAAACTAGCCGGGGCAGAAAAATTTGTGAATGCTTATCCCCAATTAACTAGAAAAAAAAATCTAAGTGTGACCAAGTGGTAAAACATCAGTCTTGAGTGAGAAGGCCAAGTGAAACTGTCCAGCCTTGAGTTCAAGTCCAGTACTGGCACACACAAAGAAAAAGAAAAAAGGATAATGTGTTTGAGAAAACTGAAGACAAAGATTCTGATGTTAACCATGTGAAAAGTTAGAGAAAAAATACTTTATAAAGGTAATAATCAAGGTATATTACATACATGTATGAAAATGTCATAATGAAATCCATTAAAAAAGAAAAATTCTGCCAGGTGCCAGTGTCTCACACTTGTAATCATAGCTACTCAGGAGGCTGAGATCTGAGATTACAGTTCAGAACCATCCTGGGCAGGAAAATCTGTGAGACTCTTATCTCCAATTAACACTGAAAAAGTTGGAAGTGCTCAAGTGGTAGAGCACTAGCCCTGTGCAAAAAGGATCGCAGGGACAGTGCTCAAGACCAGAGATTGAACCCCAGACTGGAAGAAAAAAAAAGAAAGAAAGATTCCTCCACGAAATGTGAGAGAATGAAACAGAACAACACATTCAAAGTAACATTTTATACATTATGGTTTAAATATATGTGTGTGTATTTTATTATGTCCCATTTTGTGTTATGCATAGACATTTGAACATATTATCGATATACTTAAGTTGGCCAAACATCATTTTGGGGTGATCTTATTGGAACCATAGGGGTTGGCCTTAGGCTCAGAAACATACCAAGTTGTTTTTCCAAGTGGCAAACTGAAGCCCCAGATGAGGAAGAAGCAGGTTTGTGTGCTGGACCACAGTAATAAAGGTCACACTGACTCATTTCCATACCAACCTTTACAGCTTTCCAAACCTTGTGTTTGGTTCCCCCCTGCCTTCCGTGAGGAAGACTTTGTGGTTGCCCTGAGTGCTCGCTGAGGACTGTGCTTTTGGTGCCTGCAGAGCTGTGACAGGTTTGTCTTCTCCCCTCTCCCTCAGGCTGCACTTGTTGGAGGTACCACCATGATCATCGGCCACGTCCTGCCTGACAAGGAAATGTCCCTCGTGGAGGCGTATGAGAAGTGCCGGGGTCTGGCTGACCCCAAGGTCTGCTGTGACTATGCCCTTCACATGGGAATCACCTGGTGGGCACCCAAGGTAACAGTGCTGGTAGAGTCCTCAAAGACAGTCAAGTGGGCAGAGGAACCATGTGGGCTGAGCAAACTGGGGCCTGCTGCTGTTCTGCATGAGTGGGCACCACACCTAGTCCCACCACCAGCCCAGGGCCCTGTGCCAAGAGGAAAAACATTTAGCTTCCATAAGAGCAGGGGGTGGGCATGCCCCACTGGTTTCCCACAGATATAGAGAGCCCCAAGGTACACCAGAGTCCAAAGCCAGAAGTCAGCCTGGGAAGCACTGGCTCCCTGCTCTGGCTGCAGATGCTTAGCACATCCTGGTGTGTCTGCAGCCTGCTCCCCCTCTCAGGAACAGTGCTAGTGAGTGGTGGCCTGAAAGGCTCAGGCACAGAGGGTTACTTGTGTCCTGGTTGTTCTGGAAACTGACAGCACTGAGCTATTCTCTAAGCTGAAGGTCCACCAGATCCTGTGTCAACGTTGCCTGGTACTGACAGCTCTCCAGATGTTTCTTTGCACCCAGAGCATAAATTCTCCTAGAGAGAAGAAGACTTAAAGCATAAGAAGTTATACAAAGTTGTGCAGTTGTGAGTTTTGGTCTAAAAGAGACCAAGTCCCTTATGAGACAATCATTCAAAACCTCAGTCTGCTTTTACTCTCTGGCTTTAGCCTTGAGTTAAGGACTCCTTTAGGCTCTTCTGGCCTGGTTTTTATGGAAATCTTTGTAGTCCTGAAACTCAGGGCATAAAGGCCCCTCCTCCTTGTTTCAGGCCAGCAATGCAAACCATGCTTAATGTCAGCTGTCCCTTTTCTCAGATGGGCATCTCCTTTCTGGAGACCCTTCTGGGTGGAGACCCCTGTCCTGATCCCCTCTGCATTCCCCCTGGAGTTGTCCTGGAATAGAGGATCAACTCAGACTCCCGGTAGCACTCAGGCCAGGCCAGGCATCCCTAAGCTGTCAGAAGTTATGAAGACTTCCATGCATCTAGAATTAAAATTCCTTTCTTTAGCAAATATTTTCTAATTACAGATCTTAAAAAAAACAGGAAAGAAAGGAAGCACATAATTCATCCCTGTTGTTTCTTTCCAAGTCTTTTTTGGACATGCTTTTTTCCTAGTAACCTTCTGGCATTTTCTATGTGGCTGCAGGTTCTTCTTGACCTTTAATATAAAGGCCACCTGATGTTCTAGGAAGTAGAACCTCCTGTTGTTTTCTACTGTCAGACCAACGTTGCTTCCCTTTTTTTCCTAGAATAAATTATGTTGGAATAAATATCCTTATTTGCATAACTTTGTTCATGTTTCACTTTTTCCTAACTTGGCTTTCCTAGTATCTAGATTTTTTAGCCTAAGTATGCTTTCTTTGTAATATCACTTCTGCCAAGAAGCCTGCCTTAGATGGGTGCTGGTAAGCACATACCTGTAACTTTGGCTACTCAGGAGCTGAGATCTGAGGATCATGGTTCAAAAGTAGCCCGGGCAGATAAATCTGAGAAGCTCTTATCTCAACTTACCAGCAAAATGCCAGAAGTGACAGTATGGCTCAAATGATAGGGCACCAGCTTTGAGTGAAAAAGCCAAGTGAGAATGAGGACCTGAGTTCAAGCCCCAGTACCAAAAAAAACAAAACAAAAGCAAAAAATAAGGGAGAGGGAAAGAGAGAGAAGGCTGCCTCAGAGGCAGAAACCTGTGCCTATAGTCTGAGAATATAATTCCCATTATTGTGTTGAACTTGACAATTTTGAAATACTTCTGCTTAAGCAACTTTACAACAGCCTTGCGGAGTGGGGCGGGAAGGCGGGGGAGGAGGGGAGGCGGTGAAGTGAAACCCTAAGAGGTTTCTGGGAGCCATACAGAGCTGGGGCAGGTCCCACATCTCCTCCTTGCTCACCTGCACTTGCTAGTCAGCCTCTAGGATATCAGTACTAAACTGCCATTGCCTTTGCATTTTGCTCTCCAGGTGAAAGCAGAGATGGAGACACTGGTGAGGGAGAAGGGGGTCAACTCATTCCAGATGTTCATGACTTACAAAGACTTGTACATGCTTCGAGACAACGAGTTGTACCAAGTGTTGTATGCTTGCAAGGACATTGGAGCAATCGCCCGGGTCCATGCTGAAAACGGGGAGCTTGTGGCTGAGGCAAGTCTTTGATAGAGGTTGCTGGTTTTGGGGAGGGTTGGCACCAATGGAAACCATTTGCATGGGAGTCCTGACCCCCTATTACTGATCCTACTAGATTCAGAAAAAAATAAGATGTGAAACTTTGGGGATCAAATCATGGTCAGAAAATCCAAATGTTCCTATATAAAGAACAAATCTCCAAAAAGATTTCTAAATCATAGATGGTAATGTTTAGTTTGAATGCCATGATAGCAGAATTCCATTGGTAGTGAAATAAGTAAGAATCAGCTTTCCACCTTTCTGTACCTTTCAAAAGAGCTAGTCTGAAAAAAAAAAAAAAAGAGCTAGTCTGAGTCTATTTTAGACATGTAATCTCCTGTATCAAGGAGGATGGACCTTTTATTCTCTTAGGTAAACCTACAAGAACTAATCTAGGAGATGCTGAACTTAGAGATTTGTCTAGATTTCCAGTGAGAAAACCCTGGCTTTGAAGCTGACTAACAGTGCTTATCTTAACAGGCCTATAGGCTAATTATTGAACTTTATTTTTTAAGAGAAAAAGATATGTCATTAAGAAATGAGAACAAGGAAAACCTTACTGCATGGGTTCCTCCTGGGTTTATCTTTCAAAAGTGACACATGAGGCAAGCCTGTTGGGAATGGGCTATGCCTAGCTTTATTGTCCCTTGGCTTCAGTACTTTCTCATCTCTCTGAGATTCAGCTCTCTTTGTCTTGCTATTATGCAGGGTGCTAAAGAGGCCCTAGATTTGGGTATCACAGGCCCAGAAGGCATCGAGATCAGCCGTCCAGAGGAGGTGAGAAAACATCCTGTCTGTTTCAGCTTCTTTCATACAGACCCTTAGAATCTTTTAGGACAGAAGAGACATCAAATTATATATGTTAGGTCATTCCCATTTTGAAGCTTCCCAATGAACAGCTTCTCCCTTGTGCTGAGGCCAAGTTGATCACGTCATTCCTTGGAAGAGATAGTTGGGACAAATCATATCCTACCCCATCTGATTGATTTTAAGACCCTGAGAGAGAAAAAAAATGTCTGCACCCTGGAGATTATTTTGCCCAAGTATTACTAATTTATCTCTGGCGAAACCACATTAGTTAAATAATGCCTCCTTGCTCTTTGCCCTTTTCAGACATTCTCCACAATTTGTGGGGTGGTCTTTTCTTCAAAGCTTAAAATTCAGAGCAGGACATGGTAATGCACACCTATAATCCCATTCAGTAATCCCAGTACCTGCTATGCTAAGGCAGGTAAATGTCAAGTTTGAGGCCATAGAAAGACCTTCTTTTGTAAAGTGAATAAAATTTTAGGGTGGTAGTTAGATGTTCAGGAGATCTGACATTTGGTCCCACTATCACCTAGGAACCAAGTCAGCCCATCTCCTAGCCCTGGATCTTCTCCCTATCCTCCACTGACTTGCATATAGGTTCTGTTTTGGCAACTCAGAATTGGTAGAGAAAGATGCACCAGATTCAACAAAATAACCCCACTGAGGGCATACCCCTGAGAACAAAGCCAAGCTCAGGTAGACCCATTCTGGGATTTCTTTGTCAGCCAGCACTAGAAAGAATCAATGTTCTTTCCTGAGGGTTAGTGACAGTAGTAATCACCGTGAGCATCTGCTGGTTAAAGGGAGAAGCCTGGGTCTAGAAGTAGTCTTTGGTTGTCCCAAAGGCAGAATGATACTGGCATTCTGGATAGAGGTATGGCCCTGACAAGTATCCCACAATGCACAGAAAGCCCCAACCACAAAGACTTGGCCACTCGGAATATCAGGAGAGCCAAGACACAGAAAACCCCACCTGAGCTGCTCTCCAGCTTGTTATCAGTCCTTTGACTGCATGTTTGAAGTGGTTGTGGAGAGAATGTGTCAGAAGACAGGAGAGATAAAACCCCATGTCTTTGTACCTCTTGTTTTTGTTGCTGGAATCCTGGGTCACACCTAGCAAAGATGTGCTGGTATTCTCAGTTCTCAAATTCTTTCTCCCATGAGAACCAAGGTGGCTAGAGCTTGGTGCCCTGCCCAGGCTCCTACCCCTTCTTCCAGTCCCTGAGGGTCCAGCCAGCCCCTCCTGCTCTGCGTCACATCCTTCAGCACTTGCTCTGTGGAGAGCTCTCAGGAAGGTGCATCTGGCTTGAAGGAGAGGGTGAATCTGGGTCCTTCCTGTCTCTTGTTTCTAACAGCTGGAAGCTGAAGCCACTCATCGTGTCATCACCATTGCAAACAGGGTAAGTCGCCTAATCTGCATGCTGAGTGCATTGTGTGGTCCTGTTATCCTAGGGCGTGAGGAAGCAGCACCACGTTTGGCTCACAGGATTGCTGAATGGACTTGTTATTCCCAAAGTTCTGGCATGGATCCCACTGGCCCCTAGCTTCTCTTTTCCATCCCTTTGGAGCTAGCTGAAGCTGAGATTCATTGTTTAAGTGAGGGAGGCAAGGAAGGGGTGAGGACCAGGAGCCTCACTAGAATTGGAATGCATTTCTTTTGGAGGAAAAGGCAGACTGTGATTTAGACAGCCATACATTTAAATCTTTGCTGCTAGACCTTTGTTTTCAACCTTTTTATGTTGGTATGGTTAAGAGTAGAGCTCTTAACAAAGCCTGGTGGAGTGTGGTGCCGGAAACCAGCAAGAGAGTGCCAGAAGTTACAGCTTTGGCCTTTATCTAAGACAAGCTGTCAACCACAGGCCTCCTCTCTGATCCCCTGTCTCATTATATAAGATCAGGATGATAGCATTACTTGCTTTGCACAGGATGGCTGTTGAGGATCAAAAGAGCCAAGGAAGAGAAAAGGCACTTTATAAACCATTGGGAAGGTCTTTTCTCCTAAACCATCACTAAAGCATTCAGTTTGCTGAGATAATCTAATCTGAACAAAAGTTTTCAAAGTGTGATCCCTGGACCAGCAGAATCAGGGACTTGCAAATAGGAACTCTCAGGCCCCAGTAAGATAGTGGAGGTATAGGTCAGACCAGCAGAATCAGGGACTTACAAATATGAACTCCCAGGCCCCAGGGAGAAACTGGGGGTGTAGGGTTGGGGGTTTGCCCAGCAGTCTTTATTCTAATGGAATGACTCCTTGGGAGTCTCCCTTCTGGAATGGCCAGCTCTGTGCAGAAAGATATAAGCAGAGAAGTATTATTTTAGGAATAGGGGACAAGAAAGGAGGTTCAGCCAGTGCCAGAATTCATCATTTCATTCAAGCCAAGCATATCAAAACCTCAGACTAGTTATGTCCTCCCAAAGAAGCCATCAGAATGAAGTTCAGACTCAACATCAAAGGAAACCATTTCCCCTTTGTTTTTTACAGATCTGATAGGCAGACAGGAAGGCCCTTGTTTTGTGTCACAGCAACAGTTACTTTACCAGTTACTTCCAGATGAAAAGTTAACACACAATAAGAAAAGAGCTGAGAGTGAGAGTGTTGAAAAGGGTGCATTGATCAAGATGCACTGTGTTCATAAACTGCTTTGTTGAATGGCAGCTCCTTTGTACAACTACTTATAGATAATAAAAATATTCAAAACATAGACAACAACAAAAGAAAACAGCTGAACAACCAAAAGGCATTCTTTGTTTTTTAGCTCAAACATATGCCCAGAGAAGTTAAGGCATGACTGTTTGCACAGCTTAGTAGAAGAAGAGCTAATCATACAACAATCCAGATGTCTGTTCACAAGATGAGTCTTTTTTTTTTTTTTTTTTTGTCAGTCGTGAGGCTTGAACTCTGGGCTTGGGCGCTGCCCTCAGCTCTTCAGCTCAAGGCAAGCGCTCTACCACTTGAGCCACAGTGCCACCTCCGGTTTTCTGGTGGTTATTTGGAGATAAGAATCTAATGGAGTTTCCTGCCCGGGCTGGCTTTGAACCTCAATCCTCAGATCTCAGCCTCCTGAGTAGCTAGGATTACAGGTGTGAGCCACCAGCACCTGGCACAAGATGAGTCTTGATTGGCCTAGATATTAAACCCATTTTCCAGGGTATAGTTCATCTATCAATAAGGCAACTTTCAGATGGCAGGCATCAGAATTTTAGATAGAGGATATAATACATACTCTCTCTAGGATGTCACGTTTATGGACAGGAAATTAAAAATAGAAGAAAAACAGTCCTGGTCATCAGGTGGGAGAAAACATTGAAATTCAGACTCAACAGTCTTGCCTTAGGTTGCCTCCTTGGCTGGCAGGATCTGGTGCTGGCTCCCACTTTTCACTGCCTTCCAGGCGCAAGCCTGGCTTGTGCTTAGGCCACCACCCCTATGTTACCAGAGTGATTGTCTCCTGGGAATGGGGGTTGAGTGATGCAGGGGGAGATGCTGATGCTCGTGCCAGGGTTGTTTGGGTGTTGGTTAGGTTTATGGATTGATGCTCTTACTTCCTACTATCTTGTTAGACTCACTGCCCCATCTACCTGGTCAACGTGTCCAGTATCTCAGCTGGTGATGTTATTGCAGCTGCTAAGATGCAAGGTGAGTCCTCAGGTTCAAAGATGGAGTCTCCTAGCTCAGTACACTGGCTGGTCCAGGCTCCTGAGGACAGCAGCTGAGACCATCTTTCCTTCTACTTTCTGCCTCAGGGCACTCCCTCTTAGGCTGAACTGAGTCCATGAAAACCAGAATTCTTTCCTCCACACATTTGTATGCTCAGCAGCGTTTAAAGCAATGTCTGTCACCTCACCCTGGGTCTGGTAAAATTATCCAAGTTTTAAATGGACTCTAATTGGTGTCTTTTTGGCCTGTTAGGTTTTACTAACGTTGCCTTAGCAACTAACTTAAAACCTGGGACCAGTTCCCATGGGCATTTCAGGGAGAGCTGTGAGAATCCCTGGAGAGTGAACAGTGTGTGGGCCCAGCTTCCCTTTTTAGCCACCTAGAACCATATCTGAGCCCTGAGGGGCACCTTATCTGACTCCAGTGCTGAGCATCTGGCAATGCCTGAAAGGCGTTATAGTTGTCCATAGCCTTGCCCAGGATAGGGTGCTGGTAAGGTCTGGTAACAGGAGAAACAAAGTAATAATGTCACTCTCCTGGGGCTGTAAGTCAGAAGCAAGGACACCCCAACCCGAGGCCTTTTGCCCTATAGACCACTTGTACTGAAGCTCCTTGTGGGATCCCAGCTAGACTGCTGCCCCAGCCTACTGGAGAGACTCCTTCCTGGCTCCCTCCCCTCCATTCCTATTCCAGATCCCACTCCATTAGTTCTCTTAAAGCAGCCTCATAGCACTGGCCTACTCAGAAAACAAGCTAGACAACCTCTAGCCTCACACTCTGCATACTACTAGTCTCCTTCCCCCAGCACAGCACACTGCCCATACCCCACCCACAGTCAAAACAGACTCCCTGAAGCACCAGTTAGTGCCCACACAGCCTCTGCTCCCCCTGCCAAGCAGGAGCTTGAACCCTACTCAGATGCCTTAGCAAGCCTGTTAGGCTCCTTCCCCTCTCTACCTTCACTCCTTCACTCACCTAATGAGCCCTTAGAGCCAGTGGCTTCCTAATTATGACTTGACCCTTCTCCTTCCAGGGAAGGTGGTGTTGGCTGAGACCACCACGGCACATGCCACACTGACAGGCTTACACTACTACCACCAGGACTGGTCCCACGCGGCAGCCTATGTGACGGTGCCTCCCCTGAGACTCGACACCAACACCTCCACCTACCTCATGAGCCTGCTGGCCAAGTAAGGCTTTTCAGTGGAACGACATAGCCATTGGCACATGGTGCATGCCACAAAGGGACTTCATAGTTCTTTAGTGACATCGTAGAGGTCCCAGGAGCAAAGGTGACGTAAATTTGACTTGGTTGTGCCCATAGGATGCTTTTGCTTGTGCCTCTTTCTCCACAGCCCTTCAGATCATCACCACCATCACCTCTGACACTTGAAGTGAATGGGAGAAGTGCACAAGGCAGTAAGCAGTGGTTAATCAGCATTGTAGAGAACACTGGGGAGCAGGAGGAATGTGACCCGGCAGCCTCTTGTCCTGTGGTCCTTCTCTCTGCTCCACCTCTGAGAGGCTTCTCATTCCCTCCCATTGCCCAGGCTTCTCTCTCCTGTGTCCCTCCCTCCTTCTGTATGGTTCTCTTTTTTTCTTCCTCTTATACACTCCCTCCAGACCCCCTTTCCTCCAACTCCTTTCTGTCCATGTTGCTTTTATCCATTCAACCCCAGCCTAAAGAAAATAGTTCAAGGAACTGTCTGAAGTCAGTGTGGCATAATTATAAACATATTTGGCTCTGTCCCACTAGGGGCTTGCAGCTTCTTTCTCCCCATTTGTGACATTTTAGGGAGAAGACATTGCTGTCTCTTCCTTTGTGGCTGTTAATGTTCTCAGAAAAAACAAGCTCCTTTTTCATTGTTATCAATTCACCCAAATTACAGGGCTCAAACCCATACAAATTCAAATAAACAGGGAAAGAAAGTATTATTAAGTGAATACCTTAGGTTTATTTTTTATTATGAAAATACTGTACAGAGGTGTTACAATTACATGGGCAAGATAATGAGTACAGTTCTTATCAAGCATTGTTGCCTCCTCCTTTGTTTCCCCTTCCTATCCCTTCTCATCCCCCCCCACCAAAGTTGTAAAGTTCATTTTTTGACATAACGACCTATACATCTCATTGTTGCAATGGGTCCACTTGTATCCCTATTTAAATGATTTCTTTTTTTTCCCTTCCCCTCCACAAATTATACCAACATTAAATACAGTGAAAGCAGGGGTTATACCATGGGGGAAGGACATACAAAACAACAAAGAAATCATCTTATAAATATGTTAGAAACAATTACATGAAAGATAAAACATTTGAATACTTATCTTGGAGTTCATTTCACCTAACATCAACTTATCTGACCTTTTCTGCTTGTCTCAGACATATACTAGTTATTGAAAATAAGGGAAAACATGGGGCCTATGTTTCTTTTAACTTAGGTTTTTATATCCAGTCTATTTTGTCCCACTTTAAAAATTACTTAAATTCAATTCATTTAAGTAGAATTGTGGTTTGGGTTATTAGAACAATAGCTTAAATCCCCTTTTAATCAGAACATATTATAAATATATGTACTATTTTATAGAATTTGGAGTTTAATTTTAATTTTTTTTCTGGTCTGGTCGTGGGGCCTGAACTCTGGGCCTGGGCGCTGTCCCTCAGCTTTTCAGCTCAAGGCTAGCACTCTACCACTTGAGCCACAGCGCCACTTCCGGCTTTTTTCTTTTTGCTTATGTGGTGCTGAGGAATCGAACCCAGGGCCTCAGACATGCAAGGCAAGCGCTCTACCACTGAGCCACCTTCCCAGCTCCTAATTTTAATTATATAAAGGATTTTATGATTACTATAACTTCACTTTTATAACATTTTGTTTGTATAATTTATATGACATAAAGTGCTTGATAGAAAACCTAGACACCCATTATCATTCCTGTGAGAATATGAACTGCTCTACCATTATTTATATTAGTATGTGAATTCTTAGTCTAAATTGCAATAAAAAATACAATCTCTACATTTCTCCTTTGTTTAAAAAAAATCTGATTTTTGCTGCACCAGTGGCTCACACCTGTAATCCTAGCTACTTAGGAGTCTGAGACCTGAGGATCATGGTTTGAAGCCAGTCTGGGCAGGAATGTCTGTGAGACTTTTTGTTGTTGTTGTTGGTCATGGGGGCTGAACTGTGAGCCTGGGCATTGTCTCTAAGCTCTTTTTTTTTTTAATTGGCGGTCTTGGCACTTGAACTCTCAAGACGAGTGCTCTACCACTTGAACCACAGCGCCATTTCTGGTTTTCTAGTGGTTTTAATTGGAGATAAGAGTCTCACAGACTTTCCTGCCCAGGCTGGCTTTGAACCATGATCCTCAGATCTCAGCCTCCTGAGTAGCTAGGATTATAAGCGTGAGCCACCAGCACCCTGCTTGTCCCTCAATTGTTTAGCCCAAGGATAACACCCTACCACTTGAGCCACAGCACTACTTGTGGCTTTTTTCTGCTTATGTGGTGCTGAGGATTTGAACCTAGGGCCTCATGCTTGTGAGGCAAACACTCTACCACTGAGCCAACTTCCCAGCCCAAGACTTTCTTTTGTTTTTGTTTTGTTGTTGTTATTTGTTTTTGCCAGTCCTGCGCCTTGAACTCAGGGCCTAGGCATTGTCCCTGGCCTTCTTTTGCTCAAGGCTAGCACTCTATAACTTGAGCTACAGCACCACTTCTAGCTTGTTCTGTGTATGTGGTACTGAGGAATTGAACCCAGGGCTTCATGCATGCTAGGCAAGCACTCTACCACTACGCCACATTCCCAGCCCTCTGTGAGACTTATCTCCAATTAACCAGCAAAAAGCCAGAAATAGAGCTGTGGCTCAAGTGGTGGAGTGTTAGCATTGAGCACAAAAGTGCAGGCCCTGTTTCAAGCCCTAGAACTAGCAAACATGTGCACACGTTTGCGCACGCACACACACACAAACACACACACACACAAAACCTGACTTTTTAAAGGGACCAGAATTTTTTTTCATTTTATCTGTACAATATATCATGCTTGACAAAGCCAGCTATAGTTTGAATTTTAAAGGGTTGTATAGGTACTTTTAAATTTTTTAATGGTATTATTAATTATATGTAGTATGGGATTTTGCCAGGTACCAGTGGCTCCTGCCTGTAATCCTCCTAAGGAGGCTGAGATCTGAGGACCGTGGTTTCAAACCAGCCCACGTAGCAAGTTTGCAAGACTTGATCTAATTGGGAGTTGTTGTTCTTAAATTAACAATCAAAATGCTGGACTTGAGGTATAGCTAAAGTAGAAAAAGCAGAAAAAGCCAAGGGAGAGAGCACAAGGCCTCAGTACCAGCACAAAATTTTAAAAAATCACAGTAAAGGATTTCATTATGACAGTTCCATACCTGCATATAAGGTACTTTGAACATATTCACGCCTCCACTAATCTCTTACCCTTCCCTCCCTTCTTTCCCTTTCCTCTCTACTTCCCTAGTTAAGTTCCCCCCTCTATTTTCAAGACCTCTGTTTGTTTTTCCTCCTAAGTTCTATACATGAGAAAAAACACGCAATTCTTGTCTTTGTGTAAATAGCTTATTTCACTTAACATGATGATCTCTAGTTCTCAGCTAATAACATCATTTCATTCTTCTTAATTGCTGAGTAAAACTCCATTGTGTATATATGCCACATTTTCTTAATCCATTCATCTATTGATGGGCATGCAGGCTGATTCCATAATTCAGCTTTTGTGAATAGTGCCATGATAAACATGGCATCTCTCTAGTAAGCTGACTTTGATTCTTTTGGATATGTGCCCAGAAGTGGTAAGGCTTGATCATATGGAAGATCTATTTTTAATTTCTTGAGGAATCTCCATGTTGGGCTAATTTGTATTCCTTCTAGCAGTGAGAAAGAGTACCTTTCTCCCTGTGTTGTCAATACTTATTATCTTGATGATAGCGATTCTGAACTGGGTGAGATGGAATCTCAGTGTGGTTTGATCTCCATTTCTCTAATGGCTAAGGATGTTGAACATATTTTTTATGTGTTTCTTGGCCATTTGTATTCTTCATTTGAAAAGTATCTGTTCAGTTCCCAGATTCAGGGTAGCACCTGAATGTTTCAGAGGCTTCTAGAAAGGGATCACATTCATTTACACCTGTTTAGCAGCCTCTGCTTGTGTGGGGTTCTTCTGAGGAAACTGGGTGTTCAGTTAAAGGAAGGGAGTTGAATACAAGCTGTGAGGTTCCTGACCTGTAGTCCATGATATAGTAACGGGCACCTTTCCCATCCTGGAGATCCCGTTGTCTCTGGTGGGTGGTGTGGATGGAGAGCGTGGGGGTTGCAGCGTTTCTAGAACAACCTACTCAATGGAAGAATCTCTTCCACTGTCTCTGCAGTCCAGGATGATGTCAGCCTATGCCACAAGAAGAGCTAAGTCATCTTACTGTGGATTTGGCCAAGACATTAGTCACTTGGCAAGAGCTGTGACTGAAGAGCCTAGCAGGCCCCAATGGAGACAGCCCTCTCTGTGCCTAGCTGGGGGGGGGGGGGCGGAGGGGTGTCTCCTGACCCCATGAGACAACAGCTTCTGCTCTTAGTTCCCTTTCGGAGTAAGCAGCAGAGTGGCACACATGTGCTCCCTTACAGGGTAATATGGCACCCCTGCAGCTGACCCTCAGGGAACTTACTGGGTCCCTGGTTCTTCATGATCCCCTTGCTCCAGCCAGGTCCCTTGCTACCTTCCCAGGGCATTTTCTCCTAAGGTAGCTCTGGTCCTGGTCACATGGCTATTCTCTCTTCTGTCCTTTGTCTCTGAGCCCTTGGTCCACAGAGATCTCTGCATATGCTGCCCTCCCCCTCCTTGGCAGAGGATAGGTTACCATAGGTACTCTCCCACTGTCTTCCTGAGGACCTGTTGGTGCCTTAGCAGCCATCTGAAGTCATGGATGGCATTGGTAATGAACTTATGGACTTAGGATCCATGTGTTTATTAAGTCAGACTTCTGTCTTATCCTTCCATCCCTTCTGGAGCTATGGCTCCAAGTTATTTGAAAATGCTTTACCAAACACCAGCTTGTGGCCAGCTGGATTGGAATGGCTACAGAGGCAGCGTGTACATCCCATGGCCCTCACTGCTCATTTCTGTCTCTCTCCCCAGTGACACTCTGAACATTGTGGCATCAGATCACCGGCCATTCACCACGAAGCAGAAAGCTATGGGCAAGGAGGACTTCACCAAGATCCCACATGGAGTGAGCGGCGTGCAGGACCGCATGAGTGTCATCTGGGAGAGAGGAGTGGTAGGTGTCCTGGAGCCCTGCGCGCTAGGGCCCCAGGGAAAGTTTTTACTCTATGGATCCTGCCAGACTATTCTTAGAGTCTGGCTCAAACACAGCTCCTGGCTCACTCAAAAGCAGGAGGCTAGGGTAGAGCTCAGTGGTAGAGCTCATGAGTAACACACAAGGCCCTGGGTTCCATCCCAAGCACCAAAAAAACTCCTCCAAAATAAAAAAGGCCTCCTCTAACCTGCCACTACCCCCACCTCACCCTATGAGAAGAGTGATAAGATCTATTGTAGAAAAAAAATATTTTTTTTTGCAGTGCTAAGCAGGCACTTGATACATGCCCCCAACATATTATAGAAATTTGAGAAGTAATTATGATCCTGATGAGCTTATGGTACTACAAAGAAAAGGGATTTATGGAACTTAATATTTGTTAATCTTATATAAAAATATGTTAAGGAAGTGGAGCGTGGCTCAAGTGGTAGTGCACCTGCCTTGAGTGTGGGTTTTTCCTTGTTGAATGTTATGTACTATATGTTGTTTTAATTACTAGATTAGTCTTCTTTTTCTTCATTATAATAAATGTTGAGTGCCCTTAGAACATGGCTTGGTTGGTTGGTTGGTGCCGAGGATTGAGTCTTGTTATTCAGACATGCTAGGCAAGTGCTCCCCTGCCAAGCTACATCCCTAGTCACAAAACATCTTTTTTGATAGCTGAACAATATTCTTGCCAACGGAAGTACTACGCTTTATTAATCCTTTTCTTAGAACTTTTGTCTGTCTCAAATTTTTACTTAACAAATTAGTCTGTAGAGACCTTCTTTTGGTGGTGAATAGATGTCAGGATTTCTAATTAATTCATTGGGATAGAGTCCTAGGAGTAGATTTCTGGGCCAAGGGATATGAGCATTTCTAAGGCTCTTGGAATATTTTGTCTGATTGCATTTCAAAACAGATAGGGTCTGGAACTTCATTTGAATACCACCTGTTCTCCTCATGAAGAGTACGTATTTTTGGTCTTGATCTGTCATGGCTTAAATTCAACAGACTATGAGCCCAAAGAAATATGAAGTCCTTCAGACTAAGACAGCTACTCTGGATAGGACAATAAGCTCAAGAAACCCCTTGAAGAGAGGCTGCTTGAAAAAAAATAAAAAAAAAAAGAAGAGAGGCTGCTTGGCCCTTAGGAAGGGTGGGGGTGATAGGATGCTTTTCCAGCCCATAGCACATAGGGAAGCTGCCCCCACATAACGCACAATTTCATTTACTATGATTTCAGTTCCCAGCCCAAAAATATTAAGTAACAGCCTCAAAAATAATTCATCAATTCTGGCCAGGTGCTGGTGCTTCACACATGTAATCCTAGCTCAGGAGGCTGAGATCTGAGGATTGCAGTTTGATGCCAGCTAGGTTAGGAAAGTCCATGAGACTTTTATCTCCAGTTAACCACCAGAAAACTAGAAGTGGCGCTGTGGCTGAAAGTGGTAGAGCACTAGCAAAAGAGCTCATGGACAGTGCCCAGGCCCTAGTTCAAGTCCCATGACCAACTAAAAATAAGTAACTTTCATTACAGTATATTGTTAAATTCATTCTATTAGTTATTGTTAATCTCCTACTAAGCCTAATTTAAAAATTTATTTATCCGTAGCTATGCATGTGTAAGAAAATGCCCAGTCCAGTACTACCTGGGGTTTAGTTTCTATCTGGTTTCAGAGATCCTCTAGGGTTAGAGGTACATATATATCAATGGGAAGCCTTTTGACACAAGACCCCAGTTATGATGTAACTGGGGAGAAGAGGAAGGGGGTTATGGAACCAAGCCTAGAAGGTTGGCTTACCTGAAACAGAGCCCATAGAATCATTCTCCTTAGGACCATATTTGTGACCCTGAGCTAGAAGGTTAACGGCTAGGATTGAAGGTTCCCAGGGCTCTCTCACACACACAGCCTCGTTGACTTGACATTTTTGCAATGTTTCAGGTTGGAGGAAAGATGGATGAGAACCGTTTTGTGGCTGTTACCAGTTCCAATGCAGCCAAGATTCTCAACCTGTATCCCCGCAAGGGCCGTATCATCCCTGGAGCGGATGCTGATGTGGTGGTGTGGGACCCAGAGGCCACAAAGTAAAGTTTGTTTCAAGTCTTCAGAGCTAGAGGGACTTGGGATTGTGCGTGCGTGTGTGTGTGTGTGTGCGTGCGTGCGTGCGTGTGTGTGTGTGTGTGTGTGTGTGCTCGATGAAACTAGGACTTGAACTCAGGGCCTGGGTGATGTCCCTTAGCTTTTTCCACTCAATACTGGTGCTCTACCACTTGAGCTTTTTGCTGGTTAGTTGGAAATAGTCTGATTCTTTCTTGTCCAGGCTGCCTTCAAACTACAATCCTCAAATCTCAGCCTCCCGAGTAGCTAGGATTTAGAAGCATAAGCCAGTGGTACCTAGCAAGAACTTGCAGTGTGTGTGTGAGTGTGTGTGTGTGTGTGTGTGTGTGTGTGTGTGTGTGTGTGTGCATGTGCATGCGTGCGCGCGTGCGTGTGTGTTATTTTATTTTGTGCCAGTCCTGGGGCTTGAACTCAGGGCCTAGGCACTGTCCCTAAGGTTTTGCACTCAAGGCTAACAGTCTACTACAGCTCTACTTCTGACTTTTTGGTGGTTAATTGAAAGTAAGACTCTTAAAAGACTTTCCTGCCTGGGCTGGCTTCAAACCATGATCCTCAGATCAGTCTCCTGCATTGCTAGGCTTATAGGCGTGAGTCGCCAGCACCCAGCAGGACTTGAGATTTTTAAGAGTTTGTATTACAGAATTCCAAAGGCATATAATCTTTGCACTGTTTGCAACATGGACTTGTGATCCTGGTTTGCTGAGAGCCATCTTCTCCTCTGTTCTTACTCTCTGCAGCACGCCTGTGTTTCTGTCACCACTTCTTATAAAGATACCAGTCAGATTGGTCTAGGATACATCCATGTGATCTAATTTCACCTTAATTAGCTCTCTAAAAGCCCTGTGCCCAAAGGTGGATGTATTCTGAGGTGCTAGGGGTTAGGCCATAGGAATTTTGAGGGGGATGAAGTCAAGCCATAAGCCCTTGGGGACCATCCCTGCCCATTGGACACCACCCTTCTCTGTAGGGTGGTGCCATCTTGACCTCTGCTCAGAACTTGCTCTCCCACCCTCACCTCCCACCAGAACCATCTCAGCCAGCACCCAGGTGCAAGGAGGAGACTTCAATCTCTATGAGAACATGCGCTGCCATGGAGTGCCTCTGGTCACTATCAGCCGGGGGCGTGTGGTGTACGAGAATGGTGTCTTCATGTGTGCTGAGGGGACTGGCAAATTCTGTCCCTTGCGATCCTTCCCAGACACAGTCTACAAGAAGCTGGTGCAGAGAGAGAAGGTAAGGTGGGGAGGCAAGAAGAGGTGTGGGAAGAATGTGAAGCTCCTATTTGAGGACTTCTTTCCCTTCCTCTTTTAAGGCTATGTTCACTTTTTTCCCAGGGAACCCTACTGCCGCCTATACAATTGAAGGCCAAGTGTGTGGTACGGGAAGGTGAATGCTAGAGTTGGAAAATGCTGCTTTCCATTCTCCATCTTTGATTAGCAGATAGACTTTTAAACGAGAGAGCAAACAGAGCCCTGAGTTCCTGAAGACCCAAGATTTGAGCATGTCTGTAACCCATGAGTTCCTCCTCATACACATGCTTGAGGGGTCTGTTCTGAAAGCCATCATGCCAAGCCTGTGAACAGGCCAGGTGCACTGAGACCACAGATCGAGCCATTGCACCTGCAAGGGCCCCACACTTTCACAGCCATTGAGGCCCTACTTTCCTGAGGCCAAGCAGCCAAGAAATCCAAAGCTAAGTCTGTTGATGGGAACAGGCTTGGGGTGCTGGAAAAAAAAACAGGTCTTGGTTGCCACAGCATTGACACCAAACATAATCTCAAAGTGTCTTACTGAAACAGGTGAATGACCCCATCTCTGAAGTGTTCCTCAGATGGGGGTAGGCGTGGGCAAGGGCCCTCAGGACAAGATTCCAAAAAGAGCCGGAAGAGCAACCCTTTCACACCAAGCTTATCTGACAAAAGGGGGATATCAAACACATAGAAAACAAGCAGGGGGTGCCAGTGGCTCACACCTGTAATCCTAGCTACTCAGGAGGCTGAAATCTGAGAATCGTGGTTCACAGCCAGCTGGGGCAGGAAAGTCGGTGACACTCTTATTTCCAATTAACCATCTGAAAACCAGAAGTGGTGCTGTGGCTCAAGTGGTAGAGTGCCTGCCTTGAGCTGAAGAACTCAGAGACAGTGCCCAGGCCCAGAACCAACAAAAAAGAAAAAAAGAAAGAAAGAAAAGAAAATAGGGGTAGAGATGCGGTGTTGGGAAAATGGTGCAACTTCTCCAGAAGTCAGTGAATTGACAGGTGACTTCTCTGTTTTTCTTATATACCAGAGTGGTACCCAGAAGTTCCAGAGTCTGGGATATATCTAGAAGAAATGAAGTCAGGCCTACACAAAAACAAGTACATGATTGTTTATAGTACCTCTGTCCATAAAGGCCAAAAAGTAGAAACAACCCACATGTCCATCAACTGTTGAGTGGATAAATTCATCACAGTATATCCATCCAGTGAAATATCATTAGGTCGTAAAAGGGAGTAAAGTACTGAAAAACACTACACACACACACACACACACACACACACACACACACACACACACGACATGGTAATCTTGAAACCATTATTCCAAATGGAAGAAGCCAGGCAGAGCCTAACTACAGATTTATTATCAGAGAACATGAAGGAATGGGCAGAAGAGGAATGACCCTCAGGAAATCCTGTGTCTGTTGTTTTTCTTAATTCAATTGCTGATGAACACAATGAAGTTACTTTCCTGGGTGGTACCAGGTGCAGCTTGTCATTGCTGCTCCTTAGACCAGACACATACATCTGGTTGCACTTCCTCCTCCCGCTCCTCACAGGAGCACTAGCAGTGAAGTGCTCTTCATGACCAGTTCTTTTTTTTTTAATTTTTTATTGTGAAAATACCATACAGAGGGATTCAAGGTAATGAGTACATTTCTTATCAAGCATTGTTGCCTCTTCCTTTGTTTTCCCCTTCCCATCTCTCCCCCTCCACCCCACCCCCTGCCAATGTTGTAAAGTTCGTTTTTCAACATTACGACTTGTACATCTCGTTGCAATGGGTCCACCTGTATCCCTATTTAAACGGTTTGTTTTCGCCCTTCCCCTCCACAAATTATACCAACAACAAATACAATGAAAGCAGGGGTTATACTATGGGGGAGGGACATACAAAGCAACAAAGAAATCATCTTATAAATATGTTAGAAACAATCACAAGAAAGAAAAAAAAATATTTGAATACTTATCTTGGGGTTCATTTCACCTAACATCAACTTATCTGGCCTTTTCTGCTTGTCTCAGACATATACTAGTTATTGTAAATAAGGGAAACCATGGAACCTATGTTTCTTTGGGCCTGGCTTACTTCACTTAATATAATTTTTTCCCAAGTCTTTCCATTTCCTAACAAATGGGGCAATGTCATTCTTTCTGATGGAGGCATAGAATTCACTGTATATAGAGACCACATTTTCTTGATCCATTCATCTACTGAGGGGCATCTGGGTTAGTTCTGTATCTTAGCTATGGTATATAATGCTGCAATAAACATAGTTGTGCTGCTTCTAAGACCAGAGCAGTTCTAAGACCTTTGCACATATCATTTCATTGATTCTCTGACAGAGAAACAGTTATCATCCTAATTTTACAAATAAGGAAACAGGTGCTGAGAGATGAAGTAGTTTACTCCAAATCACACAGCTTAGAAGTGACAGAGTTGAGATTGGAACCTAGGGTTGCCAAATACAGCTCTTAATCTTTCAGCCTGTGTGAATAGAGTATTGCTACCTGGGGTCTCTTGTGTCCACAACAGCTATACCGAGCTTTAATCTCCACAAAGATGTCAGACCACGATGAAAAGGGCTGGCCTCTTGGGGCTTGGTATTGAGGAGATACCTTTACCCAGAAAAAGGGTGCTGTCTTAAGGCTGAGTACCTTTGAAGCCGCCCTGCTATAGATATGCTGTAAGGAGTCTGTCCATGTTGAGGGCAGCCAGCAAGGCCCCCTCTGCACATGCGCACACGTGCTCACTTGTACATATGCCTACTTGTAGATACATGCTCACACATGCACTATTTAGGAGCAATGTGAAGAATTTCCATGCCAAAGGCTCAAAAGAAGCCTGGTCCTCTGCATGACTTGAGTCTCTAGTGGAGTGACAAGTGGCCCATGTTGCTAACCACTGATGTTAATCTTTTCCCCTCTCCAGACCTTGAAGGTAAGGGCAGTGGACCGCACTCCCTACCTGGGGGACGTTGCTGTGGTGGTGCATCCTGGGAAAAAGGAGATGGGAACGCCGCTGGCGGATACTCCCACTCGGCCGGTCACACGACATGGGGGCATGCGGGATCTTCATGAGTCCAGCTTCAGCCTCTCTGGTAAGGGCAAGGGTGTGGAGAGCCAGCCAGTGGCTTTGGTTTGTGCGTCCTGGGTCCTCTTCCCTCCCTCCCCCATGCTGCGTGATGAGGGCCGGTTGTGCTCTTAGAGACACACATGTATTAGGGGATGAGGGAGAGGGACGGGGGGGGCTCACCATCCCCTCTAACAGGCCATGACCCAATTAGGGGCTCTCCCTGAGGTGTTCAGTTCTTATATTTCTGTCCCCTGAAACTCTCAAGGACATAAGGACATCTCTGTTCATGAAACTGCACCCAGTTGTCTCTTCCTGTGCCAGGGCTGCTGGCCTGGCACTTCTGCGATGCCCTTTCCTCCCTCTGGCCTTGCTGTCACTGCTTTTGTTTGTTTGTTTGTTTTCGCAATCAGGAATTGTATATGTTTCATTAACTTCTTCATTTAGTTTCTTTTTTTTTTTTTTTTGGGTCCGGTCATGGGGCCTGAACTCTGGGCCTGGGCGCTGTCCCTCAGCTCTTCAGCTCAAGGCTAGCACTCTACCACTTGAGCCACAGCACCACTTCTGGTTTTTTTCTTTTTGCTTATGTGGTGCTGAGGAATTGAACCCAGGGCCTCAGGCATGCAAGGCAAGCGCTCTACCACTGAGCCACCTTCCCAGCCCCTTCATTTAGTTTCTGACTCCCAGTTTCTTTCCTCCTCGTTCTGCCCCTAGGGCCATGTCCTGGTCCCAGTCTGACTTAATCTCTGAGTTTCTTGAACAGGTCCCCTTTTATTCTCAGTCAGAATCTCCCACTGACACCTGCAGCTCCTCTAGGTAGCCGCTGCTGTCTGTGTAGCCACAGACGTCAGGAGCTGTGCAGTTTGGGAGGGGCTGCTGCTCCCTAGGTGTACCCTCAGGAAGAGGAGGAAGAGACTGCGAGATGCCATGGTCCTTCAAGACACTTTGGTGGAAATTCTCCTCACCACTTGAAAAGGCCAGGGCTCAAGTCTCCCTGGCCACAGCTGAGTGGCCCTTGGGACTAATCAGAGAACTTACTCTGCAAGGGCTATGCTGTGCTGGGGTGGGAGGGAACAAGACCCAGATCACTGAGGAGCGAGGCCCAAACACAAACCGTCTTAGGAGGAGAGGCAGAGGCTACACCAAAAGGCACTGGGAAAGCAAAGGGCCCTGCCTGCTGAGACCCTTCCATGCCCAGCCTTGTGCCAAGAGCTGCTGTGGCAGAAGCAAATAGTTGCCATGGAGGGTGCTGGTGACCCATAAGGAGGGGCCCTCACCTCCACCCTGCAGACTCTTGCTACTTTCACTGACGAAGGGACATCAGTGCCAGGAGTCAGAAAGGGGCATGTGTTTGGAGGACTTCAGATACACTTAGGCCTTGCCTGGCCAATCCAATCGTAGGGCCAGTGTAGCCAGCCACGTGAGAAGTGACAAGAACCCCCAGGAGGTAGGGACCCCACTGGCCAGTGGCCTCTTGTGCCCCTCATCTCCAACTACCATGATGAGCAGAGCATCTCCGTGACCCAGCAGTGCTCAGGCAGCCTGTCCCGGTCCCTGCAGGCTCATCTGTTTAGGTGGGATTTCAAGCTATTGAGCCTTTGGGGGAGGGTATGGTTCTTTCCTTCTCCAAAGCAGAGGCGTTCCCTCCCTTTTCCCTCTCTGCCTATACTCCCTGAAGCTAGATGCAGCGAGATGGGCAGAATGGGTTGGGGCCTTTAAGTAAGTAGACTCAACATCAGAATGACCTGAGTTCAAATCTAGTCTCTATCCCTTACACACTTGTAACTGGGGCAAGTTATATCACATCCCTGAGCCTCAAGTTCTCCACAGGAAAAAAAGGATGGAGTCACGTGGGTTCAATGAGATTATACCCACAGACAGTTTCACTCCACCCCTGCACGTATTGAGCCTCTGGTCTTTGGCAGCTGTGGCTGGCCACCCAGGGCAGGGCAGCCTGCTTAACCCTCTGCTTTCTTCCCCCAGGTTCTCAGATTGATGACCACGTTCCAAAGCGGGCCTCGGCGCGGATCCTCGCGCCCCCTGGCGGCAGGTCGAGCGGCATTTGGTAAAGGCACTGACCAGCCCCCACCAAGTGAGGATGCATCGCACCACCACCTGCCCGCGCACCTTCAGCCCACGGCTACAGGGGGCAGGAGAGGCTGGGATGGGCAGTTTGCCACCAGTGGGAGGGTCCCAGGACCCAGGGGACCCCACCCCATGTCTGAACATGTTTCCCAGGGCTTCGAGCCATCCCTAACAGGCACTTTGAGCTGCCCTTCCTGCTGGGTGCTATCTGCCTCAGTGGGGGCTACTCACTATGCACAGAGCCCATGCATAGCCTGGCCCAGCCCCTCCTCTCACCGCTGCCTCCAGTGCTGGCCCTGGGAAGGCCCAGGCTTTAGTGCCCTGCCCCAGCTGCCCAGCTGGGTGTCTAGAGCACTTTAGCAGATGTGTTTTATAATGAAAAGGCCTCCCTCCCCACCCCTTAAGCCCCGTGGTGATACTTCCCAAGTCAGACAGGTGTCAGCTTCCCAGCCATGCCCAGGACGTCTCATCTCTCCTGACTCACCTCTGGCCCCGTGTGGGTGCAGGCCAGACACCCTGGGGGTGGGGTGGTTGGGACCCCCTGTGCCTGGTGCCAGGCGCGTGTAAATGGTTTTGTTTTGCACGTTTGGTTTGCGCAGTGGTTTGGTTTGACTTGTTTGTGCATCCTGTGGAAAAATAACGGTGCTTCGTGTCACTAGCATAGCATAGAAACAGGAATAGACGTGGTCCTTAGGAGACGCTGCACTCGCTACAACCAGACAACACAGGGCCCATCTCCCCCTGCTTGGGGTCCTCAGGCTGCCAGGACACCCTGGGCCAGGCCCTCTTCCCCTCAGAGTCTGGTTTCCTGCATTCTAAGAGGGAGCTTGGATACTGGCCCTGGAGACCTTCAAGCAGGCAGAGCGGCCCCTCCCATCTTCACCCATCAGTCCCAACACTAACCCACATCCCCACACAGCTTCCTGTCACTTCTTCCTGCTGGTCAGAGGCCTGGCCACTCCTCCTGTGTGACTGGCAGAAGGCCTCATGCCTGCTGAGAGAGGGGGAGTGGGAGAGGGACTGCCAGGTGCGAGGGAAGATGACTCCTGCCCACCACTCACAGGGCCTGGCTGCGGAGCTCACCTCACTGCGAGGTGCTGTGGCATCCTGCAGTAGGCACCACCCCTTCACTGGCTGAGCTGGTAGCTTCATCTATGTCGATGTCCAGTAGGGCCCTCCCTGCCTCAGAAGCTCTGCAGAGTGTCCTGGGCGGGTGCTGGATCTGGGAAGGAGCCCACTGCTTGCCCTTGCTAAGGGAAATGAGCTTGAACCTTTGGCTTGAGCACCCCAGCCTTGCAGGAGGTGTCTGGACTCTTGTAGAATGGCCATCACCTACAGACTTTTATAGTGCTGCTTGTGTAGTTACACACTTCCATATAGAAGCTCTCCCTACAGTACAGTACATGTTCTCTCCCCAGTTCACAGATGAGGTAACTGAGGCTCAGAAAGCTCAGGCCCTTTTACCCCATAACTATCTATGACCGCTCTCATGACCTTGACTGTCTAACCTAGCTGTGGAGAATAGTTGTGGGGTGATGTTTGTGGTTGATTGCATCCATTTAGCCAACTAGAAGACTTTATTCCCTGATAGATATTCTGCTTTGTTTTACACAAGTAGGTAGTTTTTTTTTTCTCATCGTCATTAGAAACAAAACTACTGCTTATTTCACTTTGAACCATGACTAGCCAATGTTGCAGGCTTACTTACCGTGTGGTTTGTGCAGCATCCATTCCCTCCCTTTCCCTTCACCTGGGGGCTGAGAGGACAGAGATGGTAACGCGGGGAGCAGAGGCAGCTGTGGAGATAATAGATAGGGATCCTGGAAAAGCCTCCATGGGCCACAGAAATGGTGAACCCCCTGGAACAATGCACACCATCTTTATCCCTTTCAGGCCTAGCTGGGCCTTGGGCAGATGCCAAAGAGTGAAGTGGTGGTAGGGCCAGCTAGGCAGGTGACCTGGTTGACCTAGGAAAGCTTTACCTTCTCTGAGTGCCTCTCCCTGAGCGATGGGTGACCCCGGGTGCTGGGAGATCACATGCTGGGGAGGCCAGTGTAGGTCTTCCACTTCATCCACCCCAACCCTTACATAGACCCGTACTTGCCCAGGAGCTTCTAGATGGAAATCAGAAGGAGGTCCAAGAAGCCAGTCATCCTCATCCCCTACCACCCACTTTGCCTCATGCAGAGCTCCAGCCCACGCCATCACCAGCCCCAGTGGCTCCTGGCTGGAAGGACAGGGGCTATGGTTGCCACGAATGCAGCTCTCAAACTGGTCTTGTACTTGCTGAATAAATACTGTTGTTCTTGCCTTAGCTGCTCTCTAGGTTTGTGGGGTTAAGTTACCAGAAATTTGTGCTACTGTGCGTGTGTGTGCGCGTATGTGTGTGTGTATGTGTGTGTGCGTGTATGTAGTGCTAGCAGTCCACAGTAGGTCTCTTGTCAAGCCGATGCCGTGATGAGGGCTTTTCCCATATTGACCCAGAAATCACAGAACCACACAGACACCGCTCCCCTTCCAGCTGCCGAGGCAGCCTGGGGTCGGGTGCAGCCGCCAGCACCCCAGCACCCAAGTGACTTTCTCGCTCCTCTGTAAATGTCATGGTGCTACGATTGTGTCACTCCCAAGGTGACACACAGTCCTGTGCTTTGGCCACCATTTGAGGCAAAAACAAAACAGCCCGACACGTGTTGTGGTGCAGGTTTGTATTAAACTGTAGCTACTTCTCACTTGGTCTCTGTTGTGTTTATTCAAAGAGGGAGCCTCTTATACAATGGCTGGGATATGGCTTCCGTTGCTTAGAAAACTCAGTTTTGATCAATCGCTTCTTATTTGATGGCTTCAGCAAGGTGTAGAGTTTTTAGGTTTTTTTTTTTCTGCTTGCTTGTTTGTTTTTGCCAGTCCTGGAGCTTGAGCTCAGGGCTTGGGCACTGTCCCTGAGCCTGTCTGCCCAAGGCTCTATCACTTGAGCCACAGCACCACTTCTGGCCTTTTCTGTTTCTATGGTACTGAGGAATCGAACCCAGGGCTTCATGCTTGCTAGGCAAGCACTCTACTACTAAGCCACATTCCCAGTCCAAGGTGTGGAGATTTTAAACAATGTCACTATATATAGTTTTGTATATAGTTACATAGTTACAGCTATATAACTATACATATATAAAACTGTATAACTGTGTGTGTGTGTGTATGTGTGTGTGCTGGGAAGTGACTCACTTGTAATCCAAGTTACGTGGCATTAGCCAGCCTGGGCAAAAGCATGAGACCCTATCTGAAAATAGCAAAAGGACTAGGAATGTGTGTCTCAAGTGAAACCTTGAATCCAATAACTAGAACTGCCCTTTATAAGGATTGGAGTCCAGAATTTCTAATGGGAACAAAACCAACGTTTTTGTTGCCAGATTTCCTGAGACATAGTTGACAAGTTACCAGAAATGGAAATGATTAAAAGCAAGTGGGAAGGATTAGAAGAAAAAAGGGGGAAACACTGGGCTTCTCCCACCTATCCTTTGGCACCTGTGCTCTTGGCTCTCGTTTTGGAAGCCCATTACCTCTGTCCATTCTGAAAAACCTTGGCTGCTGGGGACTGCAGCCTTATAAAGGTCGTCTAGCAAAGTGCTGTCCCAAGGTCAGTGTGAGTCTTCAAAGATCATCTAGCTGCTTTCTGGCCTTCCAGAACCCCACCTTTGGTGTTGGCCTCTCCATGCTCAAACCCCTTCCATCCTGCCCACACTCTACCTTCTCTTTAGATTTCTGCTGGATGTTGGAAGGGATTATCTGACTGCTCACACAAAAATGAAGAACATGGTAGCTCACACCTATTGTCTCAGCACTTTGGGAGGCTAAAACAGGAGGATCACAAATTTGAAGCCAGCCTGAGCTACATAACAAAATCTTGCCTCAAAAGACAGGCAGAAGGTGCCTGGGCAGTGGTGCCTCACTCCTGTAATCCTAGCTACTCAGGAGGCTGAGATCAGAGGATTGCTGTTTAGAGCCAGACTGGGCAGGAAAGTTCATGAGACTTTTATCTCCAATTAATCACAGAAAAAGCCAGAAGTGGTGCTGCAGCTCGAGTGCTATCCTTGAGCAAAAGGACCTCGGGGACAGTGCCCAAGCCCAGAGTTCAAGTCCCAGGATGGGGGGCAGAAGGAGTGAAACTGCTGGTTTTAGTTCTTTGGTTCACTTGTATTTTTTAAGCCCCAAAGACAAAAACTCAAATGTAAAAAATTGAGTTGATGAGGAAGAGACCAGAATTAGATCAACACCAAAAATCCACAGTAAGTTTGGATGGAAAAACAGCATGGCCACACATTTGAGAGTCCATGGGTATGTATCAGGCAGTGTGCGGAGACAAGGAACCCAGGAAGGCACTAGATACTTCAGTCCATATGCAGCTCAGGCTTGGTTATTTAAAAGAATCTGCATTTGGATACGTGAAAACTGGTCAGCACCTAAGCAGCCTTGACTTGGAATTATATGTTGACTTAACATTGCAGGTACCTTGTACCGTGGAGACCAACTTGTGAGTGAAGAAAAAGGGCACCCAAGGTACAAAGAAACCCTGTGACAAAGGGAGCAGTATATATTATAGTCCTAATTAATATAATGTCTTTTGAGCCAGGCATGCAAGAAATGGATGCAAGAGGAAATGAGTTCAGGCTAGTCAGGACTATAAAGCAGGGAGGGAGGGAGAAAAAATTGGACTTTTGGCAATATTTCCAATAATACTTAGAGCTTACGTCACACAAATACGTTGAGTATTTTCCCTGAAATGCACATTCTTCATATGGTACCTAAATAAAAGAAAGCAAACCATTTTAAGACAGGTTTCTGGCTGTGGATATGTGGCTCCAGTTAAGAACATTTACCTAACAAGTGCAGGGTCCTGAGTTCAATCCCCAGTGCTAAGGTATGGTGTAGGGAACTGGAAGGAATACTTTTAACTGGACAAACTTAATAGCCTGGTACAATGTCATAGCCTCCCAAATTCCTTTGAGGGGAACCATTCTTTCCCTATAAATCCAAGAATACCTCACACTGAAAATGGTTGCTTACTATTCCATTTCTTTCGATTTCGTCAGCTCCTTAGTGCCTGTTGCGTTTTGTGGAATTCTGCACTGAAGTGACCTTGGAGGTTTGGCAGTCGGGATGGGAGTTCCTGCCTCTTGATTGGTCCCCAGCAATACCA